TGACGTTCATTTTGTGTGTTCTGTTGGTACAAAGCCGTATAATAAGCAGGATAATGTATAAATATGAGTACCTTCAGAGTACTTATTTTCCGATAATGACTTGTGTAATATACATTATCCATAACTTAATGATTCCTTTTTAAATCAAGTGATTTCCTGATGTGTTAATGTTTATCTGTGGCGTTCATCTTTGTCACTGAGTCACAGTAGAATTATTATTAGATAATTTAAATTTCGCCAAGGATGTATTTGTCGATCTTTTCTTTTGATTCTATCCACACTATCTCTTTGAAATGTCTGTGTTGGATGTGTTTGTAAGTTCAAAATGTATAAATCTTTCACGATGCCCTGTATATCCCATAATTATAACAACACTGCATTTAAATGTGCAGAGATCTTCTAATCGAATCCATCGTCCTCTCTGGGTAAACATACATCCATCCACTTTGTTCTTGATGAAATTCTGAATCATCATTCATGCCGCGCCGCTATCCATTCCACTGGCTGCGTTTTGTAATTACGGACGGCTTGGGAAACGTTCCTGCAGCAAAATGAACAATTTTCCATGCAGAGAACACAAATATGGATATTGTTTTGCCGGGGGACGTGGGAAAGCTGGAGGTCCTGGCTCCGCATGTGGCAGCAGCAGGTCCCCGTGGACGGTGCACGCTGTCATTATGCTGCTAATTACAGAGAAGCAGGAAGGAGCGGCCATTTGTCTGAAAGTCACCCGGCGGTCTGGTGATACCACTTTATTCATGAAGCAAGATTAGACACCTCTGATGAGATAAGCACAGCATGTCGTGGGCTGATTTGTTCACAAGACTTTTGATGCCTGAGTCCTGGGCCTGCAGCCTCAGTCCTGGATCTACAGCCTCAGTCCTGGATCTACAGCGTCAGTCCTGGATCTACAGCGTCAGTCCTGGATCTACAGCCTCAGTCCTGGATCTACAGCCTCAGTCCTGGGTCTACAGCCTCAGTCCTGGATCTACAGCCTCAGTCCTGGGTCTAAAGTCTCAGTCCTGGATCTACAGCGTCAGTCCTGGATCTACAGCCTCAGTCCTGGGTCTACAGCCTCAGTCCTGGATCTACAGTCTCAGTCCTGGGTCTAAAGTCTCAGTCCTAGGTCTACAGCCTTAGTTCTGGATCTACACCTCAGTCCTGAATCTACAACCTCAGTCCTGGGTCTACAGCCTCAGTCCTGGGTCTACAGCCTCAGTCCTGGATCTACAGCCTCAGTCCTGGATCTACAGCCTCAGTCCTGGATCTCCAGCCTCAGACCTGGGTCTACAGCCTCAGTCCTGGATCTACAACCTCAGTCCTTGATCTACAACCTCAGTCCTGGGTCTACAGCCTCAGACCTTCTGGTTTCTCTCGGATGCAGGAGGGTCTAAGCTCAGTGATGATACAGGACATTTCTGGACAGTGATCATCCCGCTCCAGATGTTTGTTATTATTTTAGTTATCTGTTATCTTTTCAGAGACAACTACTATTGTGACCTCCAGCTAAAAAAAAAAAAAAAAAAAAAAAACATAATTATGACAAGTTAAATAGTTCAGCTTTAAAACAGATGCTATGCAGCTTTTAACCAAGATACTGAATTGTTGCTCATAAGAATACAGACCTGGAACTTCTGTCTGTTCTTATCTCAGTCCTGTTCACTCTGATGGTTCCTTAAATAATTCCTTAAATAGTTCCTTAAATAATAAAGGGCCTTCTTCTTACACCGTGCCGGATTGGTTGGTCTGTGTATGTTTTTGTTTGTTCCAGTCCTGACTTTTTTTTACTATAAGCAACCAGGCATTTGGACAGAAGGGGCAGGTCGCTGATATTAGCCTGGATGGTGAGATGAAAGCCAGGAGCTGTTCGGAGGTTGTAAGTCGTCTGCTTGAACACAAAAACTTCAAGGACCTCTGACGGTTAAAGGGAAAAGGCCTTTCTCTGAACAATGGCTCGGATGATTTAAAAACACAGCAGTGCGTCTCAGGAGCGGGCCTCTTCAGGGCGCATGAACACAGGTGCAGACTCAGCTTTTTTAAGTAAAGAGGGTGAAGGGGACTATTTACAGTGAACATACATGCAGATATGTGTCCAAGTAGAGAGATGACGTCTATATTAGAGCCCTGCACTTGAGCCCTTGGCCCGAGGGCCCCGACGGCCCGACAGCCCGAGGGCCGGGCTTCGGGCCGATGACCGCATAATGACCTCGGACACGGGCCGGGCTCTTCATTTTCAGAGCGGCAGAATAGATTTACGAACGCACCCACTGAATATAGCGTTCTATCACGCTGTAGTGTTTGTTGTTCTGTGTAGTGCTGTCATTGACGGCACATAGCGTTACTTACAGGTGTGTTGCAGCATCTGGGCATCATACAGCTGCGGCCGTTCACTCTGCACCACTCCGCACACACAGAACTCTTGCAACACATCACTACCATGTATAACTCCGCCCTCTAGCTAAGTCTGCGTTCATATCAGTGCGCGGCACTATATACTACGCTAAAACATTGTTATGGGAGGTTACAATAAATAAAAAAAAGGCGGGCTTGATGCGGGTTTCGGGCCTGAAAATTGAGAAACCATATCAGGCCGGGCCGGGCTGGGGCGCCACCCCCTCGGGCCAGGGCCGGGCTCGGGCCCAGATAATAGGCCCGTGCAGGGCTCTAGTCTATATAACACAACATCCAAACACTGCCAAAGGTGGTACCATTTCACATGAACAAAAATGTAATTACACAATGATTGGTCATCTTTAAAGGATTGCAAAGCCAAGGTCCTGAAACCCTAAATTATCTAAGTCTTATTCAAATGAAGGCTTATTTAGTATAATATTAAGATGAAGATATCCATTATTCGTCCCACGGTGGGGTAATGTCAGTGTTGCATCGTCAGTTACAGAGCAGTAGGAATGAGGGACACACAGCACAAGATCAATGAACAATAACTAATACTAAAATAAAATACAATCTCTAACTGTTGCATATTTAAAGCCACCCTGCATCATTTTTACAGATGCTCCATATGAAAAACATGTTAGCTAAAAACAAATGTGACCTTTTTAAGAATATTCACCTCCACCATGTGTTTGTAATTGTTTCCATAGGCTTAAAATGTAAAGCTGCATTACCTCACTTTATTTTGTATTCAATAGTTAAATCCAATCCATATCCATGCAGTGCATTGGGATAAACGTCCTTTTGAAGAAAAAGTAGCGCAGATTTGTGCTGGCGTGTCATTTTTTTTTAGATCAAGTTTTTGTGCAACAAGGAAGATTGTTTGTTTTGGGTCCAAATTCTGACCAATCACAGCGGACCACTGGCCCCCACTTTCTTGAGAGAAGCTACAGGTCTCTTGTCAGCACAGACAAGCTGAGGTAAACAAGCGGCGGAGGCAAACCTGAAACTTCCTGTGTCTTCGTTACCGGTCACTGCTTACACAGCAAAACATCCAAAAGAAAGTCTTGTCCTCTCCGCGCTACCCGGTTCTATCATTCTATGGTCACGCCACGTTCAAATGTGCGATCCATATTGTGAGATGTGAGATGTGAGCTCCGTAAACACAGGCTGAGTGGGAGGGGGTAGTGGGGGGCGATAGCTACGTGAGTGCGGGGAGTTTTAGAAAGTGAGTTAGTGCAGCTTTAACTTATAAATGTCCATGAGAGAGGAGTGCTCTCCGTGTAAATGCTCCATCTTGAAAAACAGCGGTGGATAAGGGACAAAAAGGATGTAAGAATCTCATTTTTGTTTCATTTTACATGAGCTGCTGATATTGTTGCTTTCACCGTGTCTACCCAAGTTTGAAGTAGGACCACAGTTATATAATGTAAAAGAACGACCCAAACAGCAATCTTAAAAAATAATTATGCAAAAGTCCGGCGTCATAGCAGTACACCGACAATAATGAAAACGATAGAGAATCTGCAAAAGTCTCAGGATGTTCTGATCCAAGCGCAGTCCAACTACTGTCACAAGTTTCAACTAAACTTATTCAGGGACAAGCCTCAAATAAAACACACAGAATCCCCACAAAACAATCGCCAGAATACTTTATCAGCAGCGAGAGTGAATGTTCTGTTTTTATTACCTTGATGCAGATAGGGCGCTGTGGATAACGCTAATGCTAACATGAAATGCTAACCATGTCCTGCTGCTGCTGTGTATATCTCCTGCTTCTTCAATGACCGTAGTTTTAAGCTCCCGCAGACGTTATTCCTCCATGTGTCTCTTCTCTTCACACCGTGTTTGTGAAAGTTTATATTATACTAGAGCCATGGTAAAACTATATATTATAATAGATCCATGGTGAAACTCTGTGCAGCGGGTGCCACTCAAGAGTTAATTTCAATAAATTATTTTCTAAAGCTTTCCTCTGTAACTATTATTTTAGTGAAATTCTCTGAAAAAGCACAATAACGACTTCAACACAACAACACGACTCAGTTTAGTCAGACGAACAGAGCTTTAAATCGTCTTCAGGTGTGACGGTCACACGTTTATTTCATGCATTTCATTCAGAATCTTCTTTCAAAAACTAAAAGACTGAAAACATCTCTAAACGTTTTGCAAAAATGTGTCAAAAAATACAATTAAAAGTTTCTCGTTCTGAACCAGCTCCCAGATGAAAGCCTCGTCTCGTACAGCTGTATTGTCTGTGCCAGGCTTTCCGCATAAATTGGATTTCCAAACAAAAGGTTGTTTTGTATTATTTTGAAACCGCAGGCGGAGGATTGATGGAAGATTAATTGTGACAGTTCTGAGCAGAAGTGAGAAGAGTGAAGTGTGCACAGCCTTCCAAAGAGACGTCTGAGTCGTAAACAAACCCACGGGACCAGGAGCACCCGGACTGTCTCTCTGCACGTTCATCTTTAGCTAAACCAGAGAAAGTACTCTTTATGGCGGTTAAACATGATCATGTGTATTACTCCAGTTTGGATTTCTGAAACAGGGAAACAGACTATTTCCCTCTGACCGTCCTGAGCTCTCTGCTTTAGTTTTCTTTAATGAATCCAGAGCCGTTCACCATCAACCTGCAGAAGAGAGTTCGCCTCCAGGTGTTTGCGTGTCACATGTCACACTGCCCCCTACTGCCCTGTGATGGTGTAGCGACTACCATTAAAAATCAATACTAGACTCTTTCAATACTCCATTAGTTGAGATGCCTAAAACACAAACTCTCTGTTAGCCTCTGTCGTTCCTAAACTCACACATGTTCCTTCCAGGACACAAACTCGTGGATCTAAGAGACAAAAACAAAAAATCTGCAAAATCCAGCTTTTGTGAAAACTGTAGTTTCCCCATGGGAAGAATATTTAGAAAAAAAAGTCCTGCAATCAAAAGTTTAGTTTAGTTTTAGTGTTTCAAGTCTGAATCTTGTGGGACACAGCTTGTTTTTAATCTGAAGAAGTTAATACTCATAACCACAAGGGGCTAAAAGAAAAGATTACACATTTTGAAAGAATAAAAATAATAAAACCCAGAAAAATCCATTGGCATTTTCCAGGGAAATGTAAAAGTCTCTAAACTGTACTTTTCACATCACCCTTTTCACAAAGCAATAAAGAAATATCTCTGCAATCTGAAGGAACTGAATAATACATCTCCTTAACTTCCTTTACCTGGACAGGGTGTCTGAGGTCCCCAAAGTCAGACAGAAGACTCCAATTATCCATCCCTGGTAACCGTGGTGATAAGGACACTTTGGCTGAAGGAGGATTATCAGGCAGATATTTGGCAGATATTTGGATCTGTAGAGGGTGAGTCAGGTCTGTGGAGGGCGAGTCAGGTCTGTGGAGGACGAGTCAGATCTGCGGAGGGTGAGTCAGGTCTGTAGAGGGTGAGTCAGGTCTGTGGAGGGCGTCAGTCAGGAGTCAGGTCTGTGAGGGTCTTGGGCGAGTCAGTCTGCGGAGGGGTCAGGTCTGTGGAGGGCGAGTCAGGTCGGGAGGGCGAGTCAGGTCTGTGGAGGCGAGTCAGGTCTGCGAGGCGGTCAGGTCTGCGGAGGGCGAGTCAGGTCGCGGGGGCGAGTCAGGTCTGTGGAGGGCGAGTCAGGTCTATGGAGGACGAGTCAGGTCTGCGGAGGGCGAGTCAGGTGCGAGGCGAGTCAGGTGCGAGGGCGAGTCAGGTCTGTGGAGGGCGAGTCAGGTCTGTGGGGGCGAGGGCGGAGGGCGAGTCAGGTCTATGGAGGGCGAGTCAGGTCTGCAGAGCGCGAGTCAGGTCCATGGAGGACGAGTCAGGTCTGTGGAGGGTGAGTCAGGTCTATGGAGGACGAGTCAGGTCTGTGGAGGGCGAGTCAGGTCTATGGAGGACGAGTCAGATCTGTGGAGGGCGAGTCAGGTCTGTGGAGGACGACTCAGATCTGTGGAGGGCGAGTCAGGTCTGTGGAGGGCGAGTCAGGTCTATGGAGGACGAGTCAGATCTGTGGAGGGCGAGTCAGGTCTGTGGAGGACGACTCAGATCTGTGGAGGGCGAGTCAGGTCTGCGGAGGGCGAGTCAGGTCTGCGGAGGGCGAGTCAGGTCTGCGGAGGGCGAGTCAGGTCTGTGGAGGGCGAGTCAGGTCTATGGAGGACGAGTCAGGTCTGCGGAGGGCGAGTCAGGTCTGCGCGGAGGGCGAGTCAGGTCTGCGGAGGGCGAGTCAGGTCTGTGGAGGGCGAGTCAGGTCTGTGGAGGGCGAGTCAGGTCTGCGGAGGGCGAGTCAGGTCTATGGAGGGCGAGTCAGGTCTGCAGAGCGCGAGTCAGGTCCATGGAGGACGAGTCAGGTCTGTGGAGGGTGAGTCAGGTCTATGGAGGACGAGTCAGGTCTGTGGAGGGCGAGTCAGGTCTATGGAGGACGAGTCAGATCTGTGGAGGGCGAGTCAGGTCTGTGGAGGACGACTCAGATCTGTGGAGGGCGAGTCAGGTCTGCAGAGCGCGAGTCAGGTCTATGGAGGACGAGTCAGATCTGTGGAGGGCGAGTCAGGTCTGTGGAGGACGAGTCAGATCTGTGGAGGGCGAGTTAGGTCTGTGGAGGACGAGTCAGATCTGTGGAGGGCGAGTCAGGTCTGTGGAGGACGACTCAGATCTGTGGAGGGCGAGTCAGGTCTGCAGAGGGCGAGTCAAGTCCATGGAGGACGAGTCAGGTCTGTGGAGGGTGAGTCAGGTCTATGGAGGACGAGTCAGGTCTGCGGAGGGCGAGTCAGGTCTCTGCGGAGGGCGAGTCAGGTCTGTGGAGGGCGAGTCAGGTCTGTGGAGGGTGAGTCAAGTCTGTGGAGGGCAAGTCAGGTCTCTGCGGAGGGCGAGTAAGGTGTGCGGAGGGAGAGTCAGGTCTGCGGAGGGCGAGTCAGGTCTGAGAGCGAGTCAGGTCTGCGGAGGGCGAGTCAGGTCTGTGGAGGGCGAGTCAGGTCTGCGGAGGGCGAGTCAGGTCTGCGGAGGGCGAGTCAGGTCTGCGGAGGGCGAGTCAGGTCTGTGGAGGGCGAGTCAGGTCTGCGGAGGGAGAGTCAGGTCTGCGGAGGGCGAGTCAGGTCTGTGGAGGGAGAGTCAGGTCTGCGGAGGGAGAGTCAGGTCTGCGGAGGGCGAGTCAGGTCTGCGGAGGGCGAGTCAGGTCTGCGGAGGGCGAGTCAGATCTGTGGAGGATGAGTCAGGTCTGCGGAGGGAGAGTCAGGTCTGAGAGCGAGTCAGGTCTGCGGAGGGAGAGTCAGGTCTGCGGAGGGAGAGTCAGGTCTGTGGAGGGCGAGTCAGATCTGTAGAGGGTGAGTCAGGTCTGTAGAGGGTGAGTCAGGTCTGTAGAGGGCGAGTCAGGTCTGTGGAGGGCGAGTCAGGTCTGTGGAGGGCGAGTCAGGTCTGTGGAGGGCGAGTCAGGTCTGCGGAGAGCGAGTCAGGTCTGCGGAGGACGAGTCAGGTCTGTGGAGGGCGAGTAAGGTCTGCGGAGGGCGAGTCAGGTCTGTGGAGGATGAGAGTCAGATCTGCGGAGGGTGAGTCAGGTCTGTAGAGGGTGAGTCAGATCTGCAGAGGGCGAGTCAGGTCTATGGAGGACGAGTCAGATCTGTGGAGGGCGAGTCAGGTCTGTGGAGGACGAGTCAGGTCTGTGGAGGGTGAGTCAGGTCTGCAGAGGGCGAGTCAGGTCTATGGAGGACGAGTCAGGTCTGTGGAGAGTGAGTCAGGTCTATGGAGGACGAGTCAGGTCTGTGGAGGACGAGTCAGGTCTATGGAGGACGAGTCAGATCTGTGGAGGGCGAGTCAGGTCTGTGGAGGACGAGTCAGATCTGTGGAGGGCGAGTTAGGTCTGTGGAGGACGAGTCAGGTCTGTGGAGGGTGAGTCAGGTCTGCAGAGGGCGAGTCAGGTCTATGGAGGACGAGTCAGGTCTGTGGAGGACGAGTCAGGTCTGTGGAGGGCGAGTCAGGTCTGTGGAGGACGAGTCAGGTCTGTGGAGGGTGAGTCAGGTCTGCAGAGGGTGAGTCAGGTCTGCGGAGGGAGAGTCAGGTCTGCGGAGGGCGAGTCAGGTCTGTGGAGGGAGAGTCAGGTCTGCGGAGGGAGAGTCAGGTCTGCGGAGGGCGAGTCAGGTCTGCGGAGGGCGAGTCAGGTCTGCGGAGGGCGAGTCAGATCTGTGGAGGATGAGTCAGGTCTGCGGAGGGAGAGTCAGGTCTGAGAGCGAGTCAGGTCTGCGGAGGGAGAGTCAGGTCTGCGGAGGGAGAGTCAGGTCTGTGGAGGGCGAGTCAGATCTGTAGAGGGTGAGTCAGGTCTGTAGAGGGTGAGTCAGGTCTGTAGAGGGCGAGTCAGGTCTGTGGAGGGCGAGTCAGGTCTGTGGAGGGCGAGTCAGGTCTGTGGAGGGCGAGTCAGGTCTGCGGAGAGCGAGTCAGGTCTGCGGAGGACGAGTCAGGTCTGTGGAGGGCGAGTAAGGTCTGCGGAGGGCGAGTCAGGTCTGTGGAGGATGAGTCAGATCTGCGGAGGGTGAGTCAGGTCTGTAGAGGGTGAGTCAGATCTGCAGAGGGCGAGTCAGGTCTATGGAGGACGAGTCAGATCTGTGGAGGGCGAGTCAGGTCTGTGGAGGACGAGTCAGGTCTGTGGAGGGTGAGTCAGGTCTGCAGAGGGCGAGTCAGGTCTATGGAGGACGAGTCAGGTCTGTGGAGAGTGAGTCAGGTCTATGGAGGACGAGTCAGGTCTGTGGAGGACGAGTCAGGTCTATGGAGGACGAGTCAGATCTGTGGAGGGCGAGTCAGGTCTGTGGAGGACGAGTCAGATCTGTGGAGGGCGAGTTAGGTCTGTGGAGGACGAGTCAGGTCTGTGGAGGGTGAGTCAGGTCTGCAGAGGGCGAGTCAGGTCTATGGAGGACGAGTCAGGTCTGTGGAGGACGAGTCAGGTCTGTGGAGGGCGAGTCAGGTCTGTGGAGGACGAGTCAGGTCTGTGGAGGGTGAGTCAGGTCTGCAGAGGGTGAGTCAGGTCTGCGGAGGGCGAGTCAGGTCTGTGGAGGGCGAGTCAGGTCTATGGAGGACGAGTCAGGTCTGCGGAGGGCGAGTCAGGTCTGCGGAGGGCGAGTCAGGTCTGCGGAGGGCGAGTCAGGTCTGTGGAGGGCGAGTCAGGTCTGTGGAGGGCGAGTCAGGTCTGCGGAGGGCGAGTCAGGTCTATGGAGGGCGAGTCAGGTCTGCAGAGCGCGAGTCAGGTCCATGGAGGACGAGTCAGGTCTGTGGAGGGTGAGTCAGGTCTATGGAGGACGAGTCAGGTCTGTGGAGGGCGAGTCAGGTCTATGGAGGACGAGTCAGATCTGTGGAGGGCGAGTCAGGTCTGTGGAGGACGACTCAGATCTGTGGAGGGCGAGTCAGGTCTGTGGAGGGCGAGTCAGGTCTATGGAGGACGAGTCAGATCTGTGGAGGGCGAGTCAGGTCTGTGGAGGACGACTCAGATCTGTGGAGGGCGAGTCAGGTCTGCGGAGGGCGAGTCAGGTCTGCGGAGGGCGAGTCAGGTCTGCGGAGGGCGAGTCAGGTCTGTGGAGGGCGAGTCAGGTCTATGGAGGACGAGTCAGGTCTGCGGAGGGCGAGTCAGGTCTGCGGAGGGCGAGTCAGGTCTGTGGAGGGCGAGTCAGGTCTGTGGAGGGCGAGTCAGGTCTGCGGAGGGCGAGTCAGGTCTATGGAGGGCGAGTCAGGTCTGCAGAGCGCGAGTCAGGTCCATGGAGGACGAGTCAGGTCTGTGGAGGGTGAGTCAGGTCTATGGAGGACGAGTCAGGTCTGTGGAGGGCGAGTCAGGTCTATGGAGGACGAGTCAGATCTGTGGAGGGCGAGTCAGGTCTGTGGAGGACGACTCAGATCTGTGGAGGGCGAGTCAGGTCTGCAGAGCGCGAGTCAGGTCTATGGAGGACGAGTCAGATCTGTGGAGGGCGAGTCAGGTCTGTGGAGGACGAGTCAGATCTGTGGAGGGCGAGTTAGGTCTGTGGAGGACGAGTCAGATCTGTGGAGGGCGAGTCAGGTCTGTGGAGGACGACTCAGATCTGTGGAGGGCGAGTCAGGTCTGCAGAGGGCGAGTCAAGTCCATGGAGGACGAGTCAGGTCTCTGCGGAGGGCGAGTCAGGTCTGTGGAGGGCGAGTCAGGTCTGTGGAGGGTGAGTCAAGTCTGTGGAGGGCAAGTCAGGTCTCTGCGGAGGGCGAGTAAGGTGTGCGGAGGGAGAGTCAGGTCTGCGGAGGGCGAGTCAGGTCTGAGAGCGAGTCAGGTCTGCGGAGGGCGAGTCAGGTCTGTGGAGGGCGAGTCAGGTCTGCGGAGGGCGAGTCAGGTCTGCGGAGGGCGAGTCAGGTCTGTGGAGGGCGAGTCAGGTCTGCGGAGGGAGAGTCAGGTCTGCGGAGGGCGAGTCAGGTCTGTGGAGGGAGAGTCAGGTCTGCGGAGGGAGAGTCAGGTCTGCGGAGGGCGAGTCAGGTCTGCGGAGGGCGAGTCAGGTCTGCGGAGGGCGAGTCAGATCTGTGGAGGATGAGTCAGGTCTGCGGAGGGAGAGTCAGGTCTGAGAGCGAGTCAGGTCTGCGGAGGGAGAGTCAGGTCTGCGGAGGGAGAGTCAGGTCTGTGGAGGGCGAGTCAGATCTGTAGAGCGTGAGTCAGGTCTGTAGAGGGTGAGTCAGGTCTGTAGAGGGCGAGTCAGGTCTGTGGAGGGCGAGTCAGGTCTGTGGAGGGCGAGTCAGGTCTGCGGAGAGCGAGTCAGGGTCTGCGGAGGACGAGTCAGGTCTGTGGAGGGCGAGTAAGGTCTGCGGAGGGCGAGTCAGGTCTGTGGAGGATGAGTCAGATCTGCGGAGGGTGAGTCAGGTCTGTAGAGGGTGAGTCAGATCTGCAGAGGGCGAGTCAGGTCTATGGAGGACGAGTCAGATCTGTGGAGGGCGAGTCAGGTCTGTGGAGGACGAGTCAGGTCTGTGGAGGGTGAGTCAGGTCTGCAGAGGGCGAGTCAGGTCTATGGAGGACGAGTCAGGTCTGTGGAGAGTGAGTCAGGTCTATGGAGGACGAGTCAGGTCTGTGGAGGGCGAGTCAGGCCTATGGAGGACGAGTCAGATCTGTGGAGGGCGAGTCAGGTCTGTGGAGGACGAGTCAGATCTGTGGAGGGCGAGTTAGGTCTGTGGAGGACGAGTCAGGTCTGTGGAGGGTGAGTCAGGTCTGCAGAGGGCGAGTCAGGTCTATGGAGGACGAGTCAGGTCTGTGGAGGACGAGTCAGGTCTGTGGAGGGCGAGTCAGGTCTGTGGAGGACGAGTCAGGTCTGTGGAGGGTGAGTCAGGTCTGCAGAGGGTGAGTCAGGTCTATGGAGGACGAGTCAGGTCTGTGGAGAGTGAGTCAGGTCTATGGAGGACGAGTCAGGTCTGTGGAGGGCGAGTCAGGTCTATGGAGGACGAGTCAGATCTGTGGAGGGCGAGTAAGGTCTGTGGAGGACGAGTCAGGTCTGTGGAGGGTGAGTCAGGTCTGCAGAGGGCGAGTCAGGTCTATGGAGGACGAGTCAGGTCTGCGGAGGGCGAGTCAGGTCTGTTGAGGGCGAGTCAGGTCTGTGGAGGGCGAGTCAGGTCTGTGGAGGGTGAGTCAAGTCTGTGGAGGGCAAGTCAGGTCTGTGGAGGGCGAGTAAGGTCTGCGGAGGGCGAGTAAGGTCTGCGGAGGGAGAGTCAGGTCTGCGGAGGGCGAGTCAGGTCTGCGGAGGGCGAGTCAGGTCTGCGGAGGGCGAGTCAGATCTGTGGAGGATGAGTCAGGTCTGCGGAGGGAGAGTCAGGTCTGAGAGCGAGTCAGGTCTGCGGAGGGAGAGTCAGGTCTTCGGAGGGAGAGTCAGGTCTGCGGAGGGAGAGTCAGGTCTGTGGAGGGCGAGTCAGGTCTGTGGAGGGTGAGTCAGGTCTGCGGAGGGCGACTTTAACTTTAGTCGGAGGGATCAGTGGCACCACCAGAGCTGCAGCCCCCCTTCGATCAGTCTGACCCAGGGCAGCTGTGGCGGCAGTAGAACGTGGAGTGAACTATTAAAATCAAATTGTATTCAGACTTAGAATAATATATCTATTGAATGGGGACCTTCACACAAGAAACTAACCTGTCACTTAAAAGCCATCCATGTTGTTTTTCCAGATCTGCTAAAAACCTGCTGCTTTAGAAAAACACTTCTTTCCCCGACACTAAAGTCACAAATCTGCTCTCTGTATGACACCCATCTGCTCCACGTCCTCAGACTACATCTCCCACAATGCATCAGCACTCCGGGCCTGGGTTCAGAAGCGCAGGTGGATCACCAACTAAAGACAAGGACATCTAATAAAGTCATTTACAAACTAAATCATAGGTGTTTAATGAAGTATAAAATTAGTATAAAAGTGTATGGATACACAACACTTCCATCTGCTGGTAGGAGTGGGACATGACACGTTTTGATAACGTAAATGTGGCCGTTTTAAAATGTAATAAAAGTGATAGTGCAGTAACTCTGGTTTGCGATGACGTCATAACATGTTACGTTGATAACCAGCCTTTGATCGATAAAAAGTTTTCACAGCATGTTCAGAGCAACTCAGACATTATTCTCATAGTCCTTCTTTGGAGGGGATTGATCGAACGAAATAGGCGACAACTTTACGAGACCGGCGAAAGACACTGCCGCAAGAAACCACCGCAAGACACTGCCCCAAGAGACCGCCGCAACAGACCGCCGTAAGACATCGCAGCAGGACACGGCACAGGAAATTGCTGCAGAAGAACGCCACAGGAGAACGCCGCAGGACACCACCGCGAGAGACTGCCACAGGAGACTAAGCGGACCCGGGATGTGGATCTGCTGTCATTCTCTACAAAGCGGCCACAACTTCTCTGCACGTGTAATTTTAAACTGAAAGACTTGCAGTGTGCCGCGAGTGTGGCGCCGCGGTGCTATTTTCAGATGCACGGTTGTTGTAGAAGCCTGGAGCATGCACACGCGCTACGCAGACGCGCCACTCACTGAGTTGCCCAAAATACCACCCAACAGAAAAACTAATCTTGATCTAATAAAATATTTTGTGTATGTTATGTGTGATGTGTGGGTTGGCAGTACTACAGGTGCGTGAGTCAGAGCAGTGTGATTGACAGGCCGTGCTGGCGGCTGATTGTGTGTCATCAGTGGAATCACATCACCGCTGTCGTCTGCACACATAATGTTCAGAAATGCCCAGAGAAAAGGGAGATCGCCAATGTAATCTGATGAAGGGATTTTTGTCTATTTTGCCATGCTGTTGACTGAAAGGTAGTTCTGCAAAATATTCCCAAAACTAATCAAGATGCAACACTGTGTTTTCAAAGATGCAATACTTGTGTTTTCAAAGGCAGAGTCTAAATGAGTCTTTCACAAGTCCCTGTGATCCAAGATGGCTCCCTATTCAAATGAATGGCTTGTGCTCGGTGGCGCATGGGACATCACAGAGACCGGGAGATGAGCAGAACTCGCCTGTATTTGGGCATCGTCTGGTCCTCCTGGTTCTGTGCAGTGGACGAGCTCCCATGATGCGTTGCGCCAAATACGCGTGTGTGGCTCTCATGCACGTGCAGAGGGGGACGGGGCCGCGCTCTGACCAATCAGAGCTGCTGATCAGAGCAGCGGTAGAGCGGAGTCAGAGCGGGAAGGAAACGAGCAGAGTTTGTGGCAGTAAAGTGTGGATTTAAAAAAAAAAACCGAAAGATTTAAGAAGAAAAAAAGTTCAGGATGACAAGGGACAAAATCCGATCTTTATGAAAGCTGTAGGTTAAGCTAGTAACACCCTATCTAGTTATTATTATAGATCCATGGTCTTTCCTCCGTGTCAAAGTGCCTGATATCAACATGATTCTCTTGTATAGAGCTCTTTAGTTAAGATGATTCTTATATTTGTAGACTTTAGGACAGAGGAGTCAGATAAATTTTGTCAAGACACAAATAAATGAGAGTCAGAGGCCATGACTTTTTTTGGAATCCAACATGAGTTCAGCTGTTTTTGGACTGAATCAAAAGTGGACACATACTAAAGGCAAAGTATTAACGACTGACAGGAGAAAATGTTTAACATGATGTATAACATGCCATGCTATAACCATGTTAACCTCTGAAGATTATGGAGTTTTGAAAACCACATCAGGGGAAATAGTTTGAGTTCTTTAGTGCAATGTTCCAAAGGTCCATGTGAGAAGAGTCTCCTGTCCCTGTATTAACTGCACAGATGCTCAGTGTGGGCCGACAAAGCTCTCATGTGCTGCACCTCTCTCTCATGTGCTGCACCTCTCTCTCCACCCTCCCTCAGTAAAATGAAGATCACATATTGTGTTCTTCAGTCTGTGTTTACCTTACCTGCACACATGCTCTGACTTCAATCGATACAACCCGCAGCCAGAGCCATGTTTCTGCGCTGACTGTAGTTTTCTGTTGCGCGATGAGGCCTTTAAAGAATGAAGCGCTCTCCTGCTGCGCACTGACCCCGTTATTCTGCTCCTCTCTCCCCGGAGGGAATCAGATCGCTTTCTCTGCATTAACGCCGCAGGCTCCTACACTTTTAGACTCTGCGGCGTGTGGAGAAGGCTGCTCCTCTGTTACTCTCACCAAGTACACCAGTTCTCTGTCGGCCAGAATCATTTAAACTGCACACACTTGCGAGAAATGATCTGTTTGAGAGTTCAAATATGTCACAACATGGTGTTCTGCAATGTTTTCATGACAAAAAAACTGTTTTAATGCGAGAAAAGGCAATCGCAAAAACCCGGAAGTACATTCCGGGACATTTTAGGAACATTTGCAGAGGATCAAAATATGGATTAAGGTTAAGTTTATGTTTGGGTCACTCACCGTTGATGTTTAGAATTCTTTGTTCAGTTTTCATGCAGTTCCAGAGAGTTCTAGTTTGGGAGTTGCTAGCCTAACTGTTGTTAGCCTAACTGTTACTCCCATAGCCACGGGAAAGCCTTTGGGAACTGTTTATTTTCTGTCATTAAATAAACCTTTTGGCATTCCTAAGAGTGGACTGAAGTTTATTTTGTGTGTTCTGTTGGTATAAAGCCGTATAATAAGCGGGATAATGTATCGTACACAGGTCATTATCGGAAAATAAGTACCTTCAGGGCGGAAGCAGACCCCGACGCGCGCTTCGCCCTGTCGGTACTTATTTTCCGATAATGACCTGTATACGATACATTATCCCTTACTTAATGTATAATGCAGATGCATACAGTACAGTATATATTTCCTGCACTGAAGTATACAGCATGTTATACTTTACTTCTTTATTGAGCTAAAGATAAAACGCCTCAAGGCAAACACTTTGTCAAAGACTTTTACGTCAGTGCCTCAGTTGTCGACTTTATTCTCATTTCTCCACAAACTCGCCAGACAGATATATTTTAGTCTATTCTGCATCGTGAAGAGCACCTGTATTTGTCATCATTGCTACAACTATTTCACTTCTGAAATTCCAGACTCCAGTGTGGATCAAAGAAATGTCTTGAATCTTGAAATGTATTTTATTTCTTTACCATTATTCATTTATTCGAGCAGAATAAATTGTCACACACACACACACACTACATGTTTGCACACTTCTGAGTGATTCTATCTGTGCCAAATGTGACATGTACATTTCTCCAGTGTGAGATAAATAAAGTCTATCTTAGATTATCTTATGTCCATCTGTAGTCCCACTGTCACAATCACAGACACACACTCATTCAACATGTTTTTAGTGGTAGGGGAAACCGGAGCACCTGGAGGAAACCTATACAGACACCAGGATAAGCCCTGCAAAGGATGATTTCACTTCTATATCAGTAAAGGGTAAAGCAGTGGTTGATTACATTGTGGTACCACATGTGGACCTGAAGACATGTGTTGAATTTAGAGTTTTTACTCCACATGACCTAGTGGACAGAGCTGAGCAGTCTATTATAAGTATGATAGATGACAGATGTAGACTTCCTGATCACTCTGTGCTTTATTTGCGTTTTCAGACAGAGGAAACATGCCCAGGAAACTGGAACGGTTTTGTACTGCAGAATAAAAGACCATTAAGAAAGTTGCATAGAAATTTTCTTGATTCTGAGGCCTGTAATACAACTCTTAATAATATTACAGAGCAATTAGAAAGCAGCGAGAAAACGCAGGAAAATTTGAACTATTGCTATGACTGTTTCTGTACACTATTGGATAAAGAAATTAGTAAATATAGACCAAATATAAAAATGCACGGAAGAAAATACAAAATCAAGCAGCCATATTGGAATGATGAATTACAGTCTATGTGGTTGAGTCTTCGTTTGGCTGAGAAAAGCTTTTTGAAATGTAAAGATCAGATTTTAAGGAGAGAGTTAAACAATACCTTTAAAAGCTGCCAAATGAATTTTGATAAAAAACTTAGATTTTATAAAAGACGTTACAAGAGAGGGAAGGCCCTTCAGTTGGAACACTTGCAAAGCAGTAACTCACAACAGTTCTGGAGAGAAATCAATAAGCTTGGACCTAAAAGAAAAAAGACAATTCCATTTGAAATAGTCACTGAAAGTGGGGAATCTTTATTCCAAACTGATCAGGTTTTAAACCGGTGGGAAACAGATTACAGAAACCTGTTTGCTTGTAATAGTTACCACGAGTTTGATGACCAGTTTCTAACAAAAATGTGTAGTGCAAAAATACTACTTGAGGAAAATCTTTATCCTTCTTGTTGTAATGATTTGTTAAATGGAGATATTACTTTGGAGGAGGTGAAGGAAGTCATTGAAAAGATTAAACCACATAAAGCTGTGGGACTGGATGGATTGTCTAATGAGGTTCTCAGATGTCCTAGGTTGTTGAATCCTCTGTACAGGTTGTTTAAACATTGCTTTCAAAGTGGTATTATTCCATCAGGATGGTACAAATCTATTATAAAGCCTATTCCTAAGTCCTCGCAAGCTGATCCTAGAGTCCCTCTCAATTATAGAGGCATAAGTTTGTTAAGTACAGTTTACAAGGTGTTCTCTGCTATCCTGAATAACCGGCTCTGTGAATTTATAGAAATGAATCAAATACTGGTGGATGAGCAGAATGGATTCAGGAAAGGCAGGGCATGCATAGATCACATTTATGTTCTGTCCTCCGTAGTTCGAGCACGAATGCAGGAAGGCAAATGTACCTTTGTATGTTTTGTTGATTTCAAAAAAGCTTTTGATTGGATAAACAGAGACCTTTTGGAATATAAGCTCCTTAAGTATGGTATTGATGGCGATTTCTTTAAATCCATTAAAGCTCTGTATAAGCAACCAGCTGCCTGTGTGCAGGTGAACGATTTGAGGACGGATTGGTTTTCTACTCCATTTGGTGTGAAACAAGGAGATATTCTCTCTCCCACTCTATTTGCAATTTACGTTAATGATTTGGCCCAAGAAGTCAAGAGAGCTAACCTGGGAATAGACATTGAGTATTTGAATCTCAGCATTTTGTTGTACGCTGACGATATTGTTTTGGTTGCAGAGAATGAAATTAATTTGCAAAAAATGTTAGATATTTTGAATGATTGGTGTACTAAATGGAGACTTGATATTAATTGTGATAAGACTCAAATAGTTAACTTTAGAAGGCCTAATGCTTGTCAAAGTGAGTATGAATTTTATTTTGGTCAAACATTGTTGATGTATTCTGCAACTTATAAGTATCTTGGTTTTGTTTTTCATGAGAATATGATTTTTTCTGATGGTAGGAGAGTACTAGCAGATTCTGCTGGGAGGGCTCTGGGTGCAGTTATCAGTAAGATGAAATTATGTCCTGATTTGTGCTTCACTATTTTCACTCAGCTGTATGACTCAATGGTAGCTCCTGTTTTGCTCTATGCTGCAGGAGTATGGGGTTTTCAGGATGCTGCAGAGAGCAACTCTGTCCAAAGCAGAGCCATGAGGTATTTCCTTGGAGTCCATAAGTTCACTCCCAAGGCAGCCATAGAGGGAGACATGGGCTGGGAACCCTGCGTGGTGAAACAGTGGGCTGAAATGTTAAGACTTTGGAACCGTCTGGTTCAATTACCGGAGGAGAGACTCACTAGGAAAGTCTTTAATTGGGACAAAACTCATAAATGTCCTTGGTCTCAGGAGGTCCTTCAAATATTCACAAAAATAAATTCACAATCATTGTTTTGGAATAATTTACAGTGTAAAATAACAAACCACAGGCAGATACTATTTGATCATTACAAAGAGCAGTGGAAAATTGAATTGCTAAGAAAACCGAAATTGAGAACTTATATTCAGATTAAAGAATGTTTTTCAACAGAGATTTATGTGAAATATAATTTGAAAAGAGGACAGAGGTCTCTGTGTGCTCAGCTCAGAGCAGGAGTGCTGCCTCTAGAGGTGGAGGTGGGTCGTTACAGAGGGGTACCTGAAGAGAACAGACTTTGTAATGTTTGTGATCTATGTGTGGTGGAGGATGAATTTCACTTTATGTTCTATTGTCCATTGTATAATGATTTAAGAACAGCTTTGTTTGAAAGAGTCGAATGCAGTAATCCTGATCTATTTTGGTTGGCAGAAGGTGATATGTTGAGTTGGTTATTTAGAAATTCAATTTTTTGTTTGGCAAGATATGTGGAGAAAGCCTGGACAATGAGATTGAAAGCTTTGTATCCAGATTCTTGATTTTTCTGTGAAATGTATATTGAACATATTGTTTAAATGGTCGTCTTCCAAGTTATGTTTATAGTGTCATATAAGCCCATGTGGGCTGGGCACATATGTGCATGACACTTAAATAAAATATTCATTCATTCATTCATTCATTGTAAGCTCCACACATAAAGGCCCTGTGCCAGCAGGGAATAGAACCCAGGACCCTCTGGCTACAAAGCTCAAGCACTAACCAGTCTGCCACCGTGCTGCCGTCTGAGATTCTATGGTAGTGTTTTGTATTCTGGTCATCTCTTAATCATATATTCGACCTAAATGGGACAAAAAATCTTCATCTGGGAAAAAACTGCAGAAGTCACGTAACAGAATGAAACGGTTCTGATCAAAACGTTTTGTGAGACTTGTCTCTAACGTCTGATTCCTTCTGCATGTTAGCGCTCTCATGTTTACGATGTGCACTTTGAGCAAAATCCAACCAAAGTCAGTCCAGCCGTTGCTTTCATACATTACTAACTCTACGTTTGTTTTACTTCCACTGATGAAGCTGTTCACATCCACCTCATTTGGCTCGAGCTCAAAACTTGAGCCAAATGTCTTTCTCACCAGATGCTGTGATGCATCCTTTAAAGCTGTAGCCTTTAGTTTTAGATCTGCACTTCAACAATGTCTGTCATTCAAATGTTTTCTCTGCGTCATGCTCATCCAGGACGCGTCAACGCTGTGTCGATGCGTCGCCGTGGGAACGTAGCTAAAAGTAGCGATATGTAAGATTTTCATCATTAAAAGGGCCCTAATCTGTCAAAAGGCATTAATAAAACATGCTCTTTTCCAACAATAGTTCAGAGATATTTTAATTTCTAAAGCCATCAAATTTTGTTAATGTTTTCATTTTGATGTCCCGCCCTCCACCATTTTTAATCAAAAAGTTTGTGATCCGGGCGCCAGAATTCACTGCGTTGAGCTAATCTCACTTGTAAAGTAACATGTGGCAGCAGAAGTAAAAAAGGTCTCGTTTTGATTCTCAAATCATTAATGACAAAACAAGGAATAAAACCAGTATCTCTTTCTTTGTGAAAAAGGTGTTGGTTATAGATTTGTTGTTGACAAAACTCTTGTCTATTCAGCTGTTATGGTCCCAGCTGGATTCGTCTGCATATCTGGCAACCTGAGTCAGGGAGAGTGGGAGAGGTTGCAGTACCACTTTTGGCCAGATTTTTACATACTGCTCCTTTAAGGATTTTCAAAGTCAATGGAGTCAAAACAGGAGCTAAACAGGACTAAACCAGGATTAAACCAGGATTAAACATGGACTAAACCAGGATTAAACCAGGATTAAACCAGGACTAAACCAGGATGCAGGTCTGACAATGGGGGACACAGTGTGACCAGATGTCTTCAGCCTGAGTTTCTGCTGTGACTGTAAACAAGTGCTGCTAACATGTTGGATACAGAACTGGTTAATAATATCCTGAATCCATGGCGCAGCTCCGTGAACACACACACTGCTGTTATATGACGTCTGTGGAGGATCTCAGACACAGACGCTGCAGCTGCACCAGTGGAGGACAACTTTACACAAAAATCTGCTAGCTTAAACTCTTTAGCATCAAAGCCCACCCACCACTTCCACCCTGTGTTTTTCCCATCGCAGCAGAACGTCAGATTGACTAAACTCATGCGGCTGAAGTGTAGTGAAGGCCGCTTTAGAGGTTAAACGACTGGAACGACAAACTTCACACAAAGTAAACACCATCCAAATCAGCTGATCGGTCATTTTGTCCCAAACATTGTAGGTTTTTGACGAAATGTTGCAATAGAAAGAAGAAAGACTGGGGCGGTGGCAGCGGAAGTGGACGCTTACCCGGTCTTGGCAAAGTTGGTCCAGTAGGTCATGACCACGGCGCTCAGCATGACGTCGTTCTTGGAGAAGTTACAGTTGAATAGATCTGTGGGTCCGACCATGGGCACTCCGAACACATACGGCACCTGAGCGAAAGGAGAAGGATAAGAAGTGGAATAATGTTACTATCGTCAATATGAAAGTTACATAGAACTAGTGCTGCAGACTTGTAAAAATATGGTTATGGTTAACTCAGACTGTGTTTTAAGTTCTATTTAATCAAAGAAGCACCTGGAGATAACCGGAGCAACTGGAAGTAACCGGAGGACCTGGAGATAACCTACGTGGACACAGGGAGAAACTCCACACAGCTGCGTCACAGAATCAGAATCAGAATCATTTTTATTGCCACGCAAGTAACAGGAAGTCACAGACTTGGAAATTGCTTTGGCTCAGTGCAACAGTCAAAGAAGAGAGGTAAGGGTGGAGAGGCATAATAAAAAATAAAGACTAAAAAGCACTTCAAAGGAATACATTTAAAATAGAGTTACAATTACTATTTACAATATACAAGTGCACATGGTGCACACAGTGTAAGGTGACAGCAGTACAGTGAAGTAAAGTGACGTATGATGGGCAGTAAAGTGACTTTATAAAGGGCGGGGGGACAGGTTAAGAAGTGTTCAAGAGTCCAACAGCAGAGGGGAAGAAACTGTTCTTGTGGCGGGAGGTTCTAGTCCTGATGGACCGCAGCCTCCTGCCTGAGGGGAGTGGTTGGAATAGTCCATGTACAGGGTGAGAGGGGTCGGCTGTGATACGACCAGCTCGGCCTCGAGCTCGGGCGACGTATAGGTCCTGCAGCAATGGGAGGCTGCGGCCGATCAGCTTCTCTGCGCTGTAGTCTCTGTTTGTCCCTGACTGTGGCTCCAGCGAACCACACGGTGATGGAGGAGGTGAGGATGGACTCGATGATGGCCGTGTAGAACTGCACCAACATCTGTGCAGGCAGCTTGGCTTTCCTGAGCTGCCGCAGGAAGTACATCCTCTGCTGGGCCTTCTTGATGAGGGAGCTGACGGTCGGCTCCCACTTGAGGTCCTGGGTGATGGTGGTGCCCAGGAAACGGAAGGACTCCACAGAGGTGATGGGGGAGTCCATCACGGAGGGTGGGAGCGGGGGGACAGTGCTCTTCCTGAAGTCCACAATCATCTAAATTTAATGCATGTATCATACTGTATTCAATATGATTAACAATAGTGTGTTCAAACAAAATATTTAATTAGATTGAGTTTTTTTCCCATTCTGTCGGGTTTCTGCGCATGCGCAAATCAGATTTGGGTTACAGTAGCAGTGTAGTTTCACAGGAGCAGTGGACTGCTTAAAACAAACTTTGCACAAAACTCTCACTCTTAAAACCCACATGTAACAACATGGAACCATCTACATCTCCCCTCAAATTGCATTAAAAGTGAAATTTGTGTCTTAATTCGTCCGTATTTTAACTTTTTACACAATTCACGGACTTCATGTCCGCCATCTTGGTTTGCTTTGGCTGCAGTGAGACGCGCATGCGCAGGTTTGCAATACATCATAAACACCTGAGGGAGATTATCTCAACGGGCAGACCACTTTGACAGAACAGCGGCATAACACCAGGAGAAAGACGAGACCCTCCCCCTGACCTACAGAGACCCTCACAGCCGTCTAGACTCATCTCCAAAAAACACATGTGTTTTTTGCATTGTCTCCAAACCACAGCTGCACGCTCTTTGAAGCGAGCTCACCGAATCCACTCATGTCTGTCCCACTTTCCCTGGCCCCACATCACATACTACCCCACCCCCCACCCACATCATACCCCCCCCCCCCCCCCCCCCCCCCCCAATCATACCCCCACCCCACACAAGAAGTAAACTTGCAAGAAGTAAACTCAGACGGACGAATCAGTCTGAAAACGTTTTTTATTGCATTTTTTTATGGGACTTTTTTTAGGACTCTAGCAGACCCTCCTGCATCGGCAAAGAACAACTCTAAAACTCAGTGGGAAAAGAGAAAAACTTCAGGGAAGATCCTGTTGGAGGGTCTGTTGGACTGTTAGTGTCTAACAAGAAGGACTGTGGTGATGGGCCAGGACACTTTAACATTCTACAATATTCATGGATATTGGTCTCTCCACACGGACCAATACATACAGTATGTGTTCTATACATATATATATATATAAGTATAGTATATATATACTTTATGTTTGAACTGTTGATTCTCTGATTTTTGTTGGGAATTGTAATGGTTTTGTTAAGTCCTCTTAGATGGCTACTGTTGTGATTTAGGGCCATACAAGATTACAATCCACAGACTAGATCCAGGACTCAGGCTGTAGCACGAGGACAAAGTCAAAATGTCATACTAAGTTTAACGTTTGTTTTAATATCTGATGTCGCACATTTTCCAGGATCCTTCTGCATACCGCCATATCAAAGCCTCACTGTGTAAACTTTTCCTTAAAGGTGCAGTAAGCAATGTTGTTAGCGTAGCCGTAGCACCAACTCGAAACCACTCCCCCCTCCCCTCGCCTCTCCACCAAACCAAACATCCAGCATTTTCTTTTCTTTGTCACAACAGGGAGAGTGGGCAGCAAACGTGAAATTGGCATTTTCTGTTCAGCCATTTTACGTTTTAGAAAATCCGATAACTCAGGTGCACACACTCACAAGAAACAGGAAGAGTGTGAAGGGGGGGAAACGCATCCCATTGGTTTATTTTTATCAGTCCGCTCCAAAATATTTTTTTATAATTTTTGGAGACTATAGGCATCTGGTCAATTCCATTACTATTTGAAAACACACGACAACTTGACTACTTTCAGGTTTTAGGTACGTTTTCCCACGATATTTAAAAAAATGCGTCTGGAAAAATATCACTGAATGCATATTTAAGCAATGTCAGAAAGCAACATTCCGAGACAAATGCAGAGCGAGATTCACTTGTTCCAAATCTGGCTCGCTACAATATCGATGAAGACATGAAGAACCTTTTTTCTTTTCTTCTGAGTTCTCCTTCACCGAGCTGTGTCGACCCCAGCTCAGTCTGCCTCCCCTCCGCTCCAGTGTAAGACCAGGGACATCGCGGAGGCCTCAACCCCGGCGACACCAGGAGAGTCTGCTTCTTTAACCCCTGAATGTCAATGACTGTGATTCCTCGCGGGGAAAAGCAAACAGTACAGGACAGTTTTATGCCTGGAGCGACAGCGACTGAACAAGAGCGGAACCCCCACTCCCCCCCACACGCCCAAAGCCAGGCTGTAGGAGACACTTGACATTCAACCTCATTTATGGACTTCGCCCTGTCGGAACTATTTTCTGATAATGACCTGCCTACTATACATTATCCCGCTTATTATACGGCTTTACACCAACAAAACATAAAATAAACTTCCGCCCATTTTTATGAATGCTAAAAGTTTTATACAATGACAATGCAGATAAAATAGTTCCCAAAGACTTTCCCGTGGCTATGTGAGTAATCGTTAGGCTAGTAACAGTTAGGCTAGTAACAGTTAGGCTAGCAACAGTTAGGCTAGTAACAGTTAGGCTAGCAACAGTTAGGCTAGTAACAGTTAGGCTAGTAACAGTTAGGCTAGTAACAGTTAGGCTAGTAACAGTTAGGCTAGCTAACCTACTTCAAAACTAGAACTCACTTGAACGACATGAAAACTAAACAAATAATTCTGAACATCAGCGATGATTGACCCAAATGTATACTTTACCTAAATCCATAATCAGATCCTCTGCAAATGCGTCCTAAAATGTTTTGTTAACTGTAATGATTAATGGTTTACCACGATTGCTTTTTAGGCATTAAAACAGTATTTTTGTCACAAAAACGTAAACAGATAATTCTGAAAACCTCTGTGCATGTGTGTTCAGAATGTATATGTACAATGTATTTTCCGATTAACATTTAAATGTGTTGATTGATTGTTATTTATGTTTATTGAGCGTGACTAGCTCCGACAGCTTCTCTCGCAGTCATCAACACCAACATCATTGCATTTCCTGTGTTAAAACGGTTTGATTTTCTGATCTGTGTTGGCAAATTCAACAGTTTTGTTAAGTCCTCCAAGACATCTTCTGTTGTGGTTTAGGGTTGTACTAAAATGAAATGAATTGAAATGAATTGAATTGACAGCTGTGTGGTTTTAAGTGTACTTTGTGTCATGTGTGTTACCAGTGCTGATGTCCCCTTTGGCTACAAATTAAAAAAAACCTTGAATATGCTTTTCCGAGCTGAGAGCTGCACTTCTCCTGGCTCCAGAGTGTGTAAAAGCAGCTCGGTGGTTGTGGCAAAAGAACAAGTTAGAAGCAGAAATGGTCCAGGAGCAGGTTTTGTTTGTCTCTTTCTGTTCTGTGTATAAATGAGCCAGTCCCCACAATGTTCAGGGAAAAACAAACACACACACACCTATGAACGCACACAGACACGTATGTAGACACACGCACATACCCACATATACACACACACACGTAGGTACTTACTCAAATGCGCACACAAACATAGACACTGGCTACAGGCACTCACACGCACGCACACACACTTACTACAGTCACTCACAAACACAGGCACACACTCACACGCAAACGCACATGCACACACACAGACACACAAAACACACACGCACTTACTTCAGGCACTCACACACACACGCACACTCACGAACACACACAAAAGCACTTGCACACAAAAACGCACACACTTACTACAGACACACATGCAGAAAACACACACACAAATGCACAAACACACACACAGACTTACTACAGGCACTCGCAAACACAGGCACAGACACGCACACAGACACTTACTATAGGCACTCACACACGCGCACACACACACACACACACACACACACACAGTACAAGCCACCACACACCCGGATCCCAGTAAACGCACTTTCATAAGCTGACAACAATTTTTTCGAGTCTCGTAAATTCCTCGGGGCTGATTACACAGATGAGGAAGTTGGAAACGCGTCAGGCCATGAGTCAGCGCTTCAAACTCAGTCTGGAGGAGCTGCGAAAACATGCTCAGGTTTTCACACCAGGACAGAACCAGGATTCCCACCATTAAGACAATACAGATCTTCTGCATGACTGGGCGGAGACTCATGGATGATAAACGATCAGATATTTGCATTTGAAGAGAAAATATGATGCATTGATTTAGAATTGGAATAGATTCTTATGTTCGTTTTCCGCAACACGGTCAGCAAGAGAAAACCTGAATAATGTAGAAAAATGTGTAGCATGGGTAAAAGAGACCTGTTTTTATACAACACCCACATCTCGCAGTAAAAGTAGCACATTCCATATTGCAAATAGAATAAACCTCAAAGGTGATTGTAGGTTCCAAACAGTGAAGCCATGTAGTTGACGCTCTCATAATCCATATAGTGTGTTAAGTGAGTGAATAAATCCAGGGAACAGTAAAATGCAATTAAAAACTCTTTACTGAGTATTCACAAAACAAAAACACATACTAGACAAAAAGAAAAGAACTAGAGGAGAGAGTATATCGAGAGTTGGGAGAGAGTATCGAGGTCAAAAAACTGTGTGGCTCCACTCCACACTCCACGCTTTCCCTGGCACACCTGCCCCTTAACTAGCCTGGGGCCAGGACTGAGAAAAAATACAAAAATATATATTAAATCAAAATGAATCCATGATTAACTTAGCCATAATGACAAACAAAACAGTTAACTAAATAAGATGCAAAATATCCAAATTAAATCAATTGCCAATTAATCATAAATCTAATCTAATCACAAAAATAATGTATTTCAATCAAATAATAATACAAACAAATAGAAATGTATCAAAATAAAATCAAAACAACTAAACCTCTATTTAGGCTCCTACAGTGATCAATAAAGTTTCTACTGTATCTGTCTATCTATCTATTAAAGACACCATGTTGGAAAGACCAGGAGGAGCTCCAACGAGGCAATACTTTTGTTTTACATTGCAGCTATTCAGATATAAAAATAATAATAATAATGTATTGATTTTATACAGCACTGTTTTGGACACTCTTCATATGTCATTATTCTTTTACTCCAAATACAGTGGTGATAAACTAGTTTTGCAGCCACAGCTACAGGGGCAACCAGTATGTACCATTGGCCCCTCCCACCACCACCAACCATTCACACACACATCAGACTCGTTCTAATGTGAGGGAAGTGTCTTGCCTAAGGACACGACCACCTTTTGGCACTTTACAGCCGCAGACGCACGACTGTGGCACCTGGTGTTCCCAGAGGTCTCCCATCACAGTACTCACCAATATATACAGTATATTCAGTACATGGCTGCAGCTCTGGAGCCACAGTCCTTGATCTGCTGTGATAGGTAATACTTATTTGAATATATGTATTTATGAAGAAAATAGGGCTGGTTGATACTGTATGTGGCCCTCAGGAGCAGAGGTTTTCCCGTGCCTGGTCTTGTCCATTTTTTTTTTTTAATGATCATATTATTTTACATTTTACAACATAAAGTGTGTAAATAGCATCATTATTATGTTTAATGCACAAAGATAATGCATGTTATGCTTTCTTCTGCACCTAAAGCTGGGAATACACTGTAACCCACGCTGTGATTATCACTTCACGATGAGCTCACGAGTCACGACTGATGATCATGTGAGAAACAAACATGTGCGGAAATCACACGTATTCCATATTTTTCGTGAGTCGTAGGCTCCAAACGCTGTCGAAGGAGCAGCACTGACCACGGTTTGTCACAAGCCACAAGTACAAATAATCGCTTTGGATTTGTGGGTCAGTATTGTGACTGATTAGCATGTTGTAAATGCACTGTCTCTTGGTTTATCAGGCCACTTGGCTGCATCATAGTTAGCCCAAGACATTCACAGTGCCATTATGATTAATTACTAATCTCCAAAATATGGGCCAAAATAAAAATCACACAATGTCAAACAGTTCTCTCTCTGAAGAAACATCGGAAACATCTGTTATAGAAATATTTTAAAGCAACCTGAATTAACACCAAATAGTTATGAGTGTACGTTATTAACTAATAGTGAACACTGGATTCAGAAACAGGCCATAATGCTCTGTTGGCTCAGGTCAGTGATAGATGGAGACGTGCTGCATCATGTCTTTGACCTGGGTCATAGAACAATATGTTCAGTTCAAAGCAGATTGTTACATATATCAGAGTTGTATCAGCGTTAGGAGGCATAAAGAGAAGCCTTGAGCAACACATATCAATGTTGACTTCATTTATGTAATATCTAGAGTAGATATGTGTTTGTTTACTCTGGTCTATTTAATGTACAGTTATTTCCTCAATCGTGGCAGTTGGTTTCAGACGGCTGCAGGTGGTATTGGTATCGGTTCTGTTATTCATTGTAATTGTGCACATTTACTAATGAATAAACTCACACTTTGTTTGTTTTACAGCTCTGGGTTGTTTACATTATTTTACTCTCGTTATGTGCAGAATTTCCACAACACATCACTGGACATTCCACATTAACTGAGCTTTAGATCAACCAACGAAACATTGAATCAAAGGAATGATTTAAGAAGGTTGACCCTGGAGGGTGAGTCCGTACCTCGTCTCCGTGGGCGGAGTCGGCCCAGGGTGGGGTGGCGTCGCTCTGGCAGTGGTGGTAGAAGGAGTAGAAGTACGTGGGCGAGCCGTACTGCGCGTGGAGGTCCGCCGTGGCCACCGCCGGAGCCACCCATTGGTGATCGGTGAAGAGCGCCACCAGAGTCTTCCTCCGCGTCTCTGCGTTGTCTCTGTCTGCCCAGTCAGTGTACATGAACCTGCAACATACACACTGGTCATACAGAGAAGGCTGACCAGAACTCCAACATTCAAATCAGGACATTCCCGGGTCGCAGTTGTAGAATCAGGAACATGCTACACACTCGACCTTATGTCTGTAAACGTTTGGTAACGTCCTTCCGAGATAACTACTGTTGTGATTTGAATTGAAGTAAATGTTTGAGTGTGTTTACAGTAAAGTGTTAATTAAAGGACAACTCACCCTCAAATCCACTTTTTTTGCTGATAAACGATTTAAATGAGTGTCCAATAGTGTTGTGTACATATCCTGGTCATAATGTTGTCACTTTGGTGCAAATTAGTTGAAAGTTAAACTTTCTGTCTAAAACCGTCTGTGAGGCGCCATCTGCTGGCGACCTGTATTACTACATTTGAATTTTGAATCTGGCGCCAACACTGGCGCGGCAGCAAGACCTGACGTCTGAAGCAAGACCTGACGTCAGCAGCCCCCCGCCCAGAGCTATGTAAACGGCCCAGTCTTGTTCACGCCCCCTTTAGTCCTCCAGGCTACGCCCATTTAGAGGAAGATTTGAACAGGAAATGTGAGTGACGTAAGCTCCGAGGAGCGGGGGTGAGAACCACTTTAATGTATCTGGACTTTAAAAGGTTTTAACTGAAAAGCTAAACGTACTATAGTAGATTGGAGAAAAGATTTAAAACACAGACATATCAAAGAGGTAGTGTGGATAAAATCAAAAGGCGCAATTTTAAAAGACCAGATCAGCCTTTTGATAATTCTACTGTGACTCAGTGACATAGAAAATAAACGGTCCTCAGCTAAACATTACCAAAACTTGAGTAAATCACTTGAAGGAATCATGAAAGAAAAAATGTATAAGAATTTGAATGACCCTTGAAAAATGTCTAACGGACGTAATGGTTTCTGTAAAAAAGAAAGATGTTTTAAAAAAAAAATTGGTTCACTAATTGAAAGTAAACATTTTGTTTCTACTCTGTTTAAAAAATATATATATATATATGAATCGAATGTGGATCTGAAAATATGTAACAAACTTTAGCTTATTCCATTCAAAGGATCAGGTCCGAGACACAGAGAAACAGCCGCTATAGGAAACGTGTGACTAATGTATAAAACAGTCTTTCTTTAAGCAACTTCTAATGGACAGACGAGGTGTGTGGATAAATAAAAAACATACTATATCTTCTGATTATTAAAATCTAATTTTTGGTCTTCTGCCACTCTTTTGTGCCCTTTAGTGTGAATCAGCCCATGTATGTTGTTCCCGCTCGTCACCTGATGCTCTCCCTCAGCGTGTCCCGTCCCTCCGGATACCCGTACAGACTGTCCACAAAGTCCGACACGCTGAAGTCGAAATCCTCCGCCGACACGCCGTCCTCCGAGTCCACGATGCCCTCCACGAACTTCACGCCCTCGCCCTGGTTCACCCCCAGCATGACGTCGTAGTTGAGGAACTCGCCCTGTTCCATGAGGATCTGCGGGTCGTCCGGGATCACGTCTCCGTCGATCACCGGGGCGAAGGCGGTGTGGTACTTGGCGGGCGCAATGTTCTGCTCCACCAGCTCTCGGTAGCTGCGCCCCCTCAGACACTCCACCAGGGCGGAGCTGTCGTCCAGAGCCCCGCAGCCCACGCGCTCACCCAGTGCACGCGTGTACTTGTACGGCTGGTAGTTGACGGCCCAGCTCGCCAAGGCGCTGCCGCTCTGGATGATGGCCCGCTGGAACAGATCTGTGGGAGACAGACTTCTTTAGGGTTTGGAGTCCACAAAATCAGTTTAGTTTAGTGTGGTCTTTATATGAAAAGGACAGAGCACAGCGTCATTAACCCTTTTATGATGCAAAATCTAAGGCTACTCAAATTAAATAAAAAAAAATAGATGTGTGTTGTTAGTGTCCTAGCCTGGCCTTAGCCATCCGTAAACTCCGGTCAATTATCATTGCCTGCATGTACCGTCTGAGTCTAGTCCCAGTGTCACAAATTACATCGGTTGAATCCCCTCAGACCAACCAGTGAGCGCGGGAGGCGGGTGTCGTAGGTAGCTGTCGGTGACGTAAAGAGTTTGCGTCAAATTGGCAGCACGTAGTTTGGCAATGGCAAAGAATGTGATAGTTAAGTAATCTGTTCAGGTTTTATCAAGAAATTGAAGCTGGAGCAAGAGGAATGCTTAGGAAATGTAATTGATGGCAAAGATTGTGGCGCTACTCCCCACGGGCTCCGTCAGTGTCAAAGGAGATGGCTAAAGCTAGGCTAAATGCTAAATGCTAACGACTCACTCGGGCGCATTACATACGTCACGGTAAACTCAGATCCAATCGTCTCAATCTGCAAAAGGAGTTAACCCCTCCCACCTGTTAACGGAGCAAATCCAGACCTCAGTATGAAATTTAATTTGTACTATGGTGTGTTAAGACCAGGCTATTAGTGTCCATCAGAGAAAATCCCAAAAAAACTACATTGCTTTCTTCAAGGAGTGAACATAAAAGTGTTAATAGTTCAAAAGAGATGGTTGCTCCAGTGGGTCTATCTCATAGACTGTAAATATTAACGGACGTTGTCACACCTATCTCCGCCATTGAAACTAATGTGCCACCACTTTGGCCGTCTACTATGGACAGTTTCAAATAATGTGAAAAAACCATAAACTGTAAATATTACCACGTTTGCGCATGCGTCATCTGCACAAGCCCCATTCATTTGACGAGTGCCTTCAAAAATCCACAGCAACTGAATTGTAAGCCCTAACTTCAATCTTGCTCCAGATATCAAAGTTATTTTAATTTTTCCCAGTGAGTGAATATTACTTTTATTTTGTTTATTGTTAGTTTACCTAAAGCTTGGCTAAACCACTCAGGGCCTTCTTTGAATTGAGCTGTCTCTGTTCAAGTAAGCTGCACTTTCGATATTTAGAGTGTTTCAATATGTTAGGCACTGTATGTTCAGAGCAGGGCGGCACGTGGCTGAGTGGGTAGCACCTTCACTTCTCAGCCAAAAGGTTCTGATTCAAAACCCAGTCTAAGCAAAGCCTTTCTGTTATATGTAGAAGTTGAAATCATGGTCAAACTTTAATTCAATCGATTGAGTTCACTGCGACACCAAGTTAAGAATGTACTCAAGGAATTCAAGTGAAGTTAATCTGCAATTTATTTTTTCCAATGTTTTTTCAAGTATACTTTACTTGTCAGGGTTTACAGTATACAGTAGACAGGTCCAAAAACATTCACTCCCCTCAGCATTTAGCCAACTTTTGGACCATCCTGTGAACCCGAGAGAGCTATACATTAGCATTGGCTAATTCGGTCCGCCCGCATCGGCCCGGGATGGTATTGCAAGCATGTCAGCGCACGTGATTTTGGACATTTTTGAGCCAGGACCCACCCCCACTGGTCTATCTGTGTCAGGTGCTCATCAGGATCAGCAGTGGAAATAACACTGGAAACTTGAGATGAGGACAAATCCGAGGCACTCTTGACATTTAAATAAAAATCATTTCATGTACAGCGTTTCAGCCACATAGCCACATCTTCAAGGCATGCATCCAAAGCTATGGCGCCAGATTCACGCCAAAAGTAATTAATACATACACACACAATTAATACAGTATTTAAGTCACCCGCGCCTTAACTACTGTCCACGATCCTCTCGCTACGTGCCCAGATTCAGTACCACGAGCACCAACAAGCACTCGTGACTTGCCTTCTCCCTTCTCGAGAGGATCTCCGCGTGTGTGGTGTGAAATATACCCGTGGAGAGTAGTTTAGGCACTTCAATAAAGCTGCACGTGTATTACTTGCGCGTGTGGACTTTTGCCGTGAATCTGGCGCCAAAGCCTTCTATCAGCTGTGGTGAGTTGCTCTGTCTCGTTTACCCCAAGATGTGGTTGGGCACTACATACAGAGGGACGTCACAAACTCCTCACCGGCACACACAGTCTGTTTTACCACTGAGCAGGAAACAACATCATTATGAAAGACTCTTTGTTTGATTAAGACACCGGCCCTGAAGAAGGCCCCACGTGGCTGAAACACGTAGCATCCCTGTACATGAAATGATTAGTAAATGTCAAGAGTGCCTCGGATTTTTCCTCTTCTCAAATGTTCAGTATTTTTGTTCACTACTGATCCTGAAGAGCACTTGACACACTTTTCACGAACTATCAACCCTTTTATGTTCACCCCTTGAAGAAAGTAATGTATCCATCCATCCATCCATTTTCTTCCGCTTCATCCGTTGCCGGGTTGCGGGGGCAGCAGTCTAAGCAGAGACGCCCAGACTTCCCTATCCACACACACCTCCAGCTCGTCCGGGGGGACCCCAAGGCGTTCCCAGGCCTGCTGAGAGACAGCGTGTCCTAGGTCTTCCCCAGGGTCTCCTCCCGGTGGGACGTTCCCGGAACACCTCCCCAGGGAGGCGTCCAGGAGGCATCTGGAACAGATCCCCAAGCCAACTGGTTCCTCTCGATGTGGAGAAGCAGCGGCTCTACTCCGAGCTCCTCCCGTGTGACTGAGCTCCTCATCCTATCTCTAAGGGAGCGCCCAGAAAGTAATGTATTTTTTTCGTTTTTTGGAAGATGTAGGACACTAATAACACATTTTTTCTTAACACCTAGTTTATTTTAATTATAGGTCTTTTCCAAATGGTTGAGATGCAGTTTGATGGGAAAAGTGCCTAAAACCAATATACCTCCAAAGAGGTAAATTTCATGTCGATATAGTGACTCAAAAGGTGATCTACCAAATTGATGAGGTAAACATTAAAGGGTTAAGGGTTACATGAACACCATTCCATTCCATTCCATCTTCTTCCGCTTCATCCATTGCTGGGTCGCGGGGGTAGCAGTCTAAGCAGAGACGCCCAGACTTCCCTATCCACACACACTTCCTGAAGCTCGTCCGGGGGGACCCCAAGGCGTTCCCAGGCCAGTTGAGAGACATAGTCCCTCCAGCGTGTCCTAGGTCTTCCCCGGGCCTCCTCCCGGTGGGACGTGCCCAGAACACCTCCCCAGGGAGGCGTCCAGGAGGCATCCGGAACAGATGCACGAGCCACCTCAACTGGTTCTTCTCGACGTGAAGAAGCAGCGGCTCTACTCCGAGCTCCTCCCGTGTGACTGAGCTCCTCACCCTATCTCTAAGGGAGTGCCCAGCCACTCTGCGGAGGAAGCTCATTTCGACCGCTTGTATCCGCGATCTCGTTCTTTCGGTCATTACCCAAAGCTCATGACCATAGGTGAGGGAGGGAACGAAGATTTACCGGTAAATCGAGAGCTTTGCCTTTTGGCTCAGCTCCCTCTTTACCACAACGGTCCGATACAGCGACCGCATCACATGAACACAAAACACAAAATCAAAATACAACAATAGGAAAGTATTTAATGATTTATAAAATCAATACATACTGTACAGTTGTACTATATGTAATGGAGACACATTATGCTTAATTACCATGTTCCTCATCAGTCACAGACCTATTGTTTTTAGATTAATCCACGCTCAACATCAGGAACTTCTGGCACAAACATGTAAGTCCACCCCTTCTCTCTAAAAGTTCCTGTCTCAGTTCTGTAACACTAAACAATCATATTCCCAAAACAATTGTTGTGGGCATATGATGTTCTTTGCGATCTCATGGATCTTTTCAGCTGGTACTGTATGTTTCAAATTTGGAAACTACTCCCTGTGGTGGTAAACCGGGCGTTGCATCTCCTTAGCACAGAGGTATCAAGCCAGTTCCAGAAAGGGCTGTGTGGCTGCAGGCTTTACAGCAGGAGCACGCCAGACTCCACCCGTTTCCTCAAGCCTTCAGGTTAAAACTGGATTCACCTGAAGAAATGGGTGGAGTCTGGTGTGCTCCTACTTGGGTTGAAAGTAAAACCTGCTCTTTGTGGAACCGGTTTGACACCTCTGCCTTAAAGGAGCAGTAGTAATCTGGCCAAAAGTGATACTGCAACCTCTCCCACTCTCCCTGACTCAGGTTGCCAGATATGCAGACGAATCCAGCTGGGAAAATAATATCTGAATAGACTAGAGTTTTGTCAACAACAAATCTATAACCAACACCTTTTTCACAAAGATAGGAATTGGTGTTATATTCCTTGTTTTGTCGTTAATGATTTGAGAATCAAAACAAGACCTTTTTTAGTTCTGCGCCACATGGTACTTTACCAGTGAGATTAGCTCGACGCAGTGAGTTCTGGCAACCCGGATCACAGACTTTCTGATTGGTAAAACGGTGGAGAGCGTGACATCGGAATGAAAACAATAGCAACCTTTAGGGGCTTACAAATACAAATATCTCTGAACTACTGTTTTCAGTTAAAGAAGTATTGGAAAAGAGCCTGTTTTATTAATGCCTTTTGACAGATTAGGGCCCTTTAATGATGACTTGACATGAAAATCTTACATATTGCTACATTGACACATCGTCAAGAACAACATAATGATATTGACAATGTATTGACTGTTTACTGACTTTTATTCATGCCACCAACAGCAGGAGGGGACTGTCAAATCAAATCAACCCATCAAGAAACGCCACATCATGACGATACAGACAAACTATTGCAATGTAGTTCACTGCCTCTTGGAGCACACAGTAAATACTCGCCCCGGTGAAGCCAACTTGAGGCTGATTCGTTAACACCACAGGTTTGTTTTCATTCCCTTTAAGCTTCTGAAAGCCTAAAGGCAGATTGAACCATGATGCTGAATAATGATTGGATAAAAACATAAACATAAATGCCAGCCCTCCAAATGATGACCTGGGGCTGGAAGCTGCACAACAAAAAACTATTAAATGAAGAGAATTTACTATGCAGAATTATTCAATACAAAATACATGAATTAGAAAACTATACTTAAGAAGCTAAGACTGTTGGCACCTTACTAGAACTCTTTCCATACTGATAATTTTTCTCAATACCTGATTTAAAAACCACCGTGGTTTGAACAGGCCTACGACGGTTCCTCACAGCCTTGAATCATCTTGCAATAAAAGGAAATTAGGTTTGTGTCTTGATTCCACGATACAACACCCTCTCTGGAGTGTTGTGATGTCACCGAAGGAACATGTTGCATATCGTCAGATATCAGCGTTAAGGGAGCTAAAAACAACTCCAGATCTGTATTTTTATGAGGAACAATGCGGTAACATGGGAAAAGACGAAATATTGTACATAATGTGTCATTAAAAATCATCTCGCAACCTTTGTGTCCCACGACCCCTGACTTTGGGACCCAATGGTTTATTAGAGCATCTCGGTGAGCAGAACTAAGTGGACAGTAGCCGTGCATGCGTATGAGGCAGCGCAGTGTGCATTATTCAGACCCAGCGCGGGTCACGGGGCACCGTGCTGCATGCTTTACCACAGGGGTCGATCCTGGGACCTCTTCTGTTCCATCTCTACATGCTGCCAGTAGGTCAGTTATTACAACGTGTTCTATCAGCGAGCGGATGCAAAACAACTTTCTTCAGCTGAACCCAAACAAAACGGAAATGATAGTCTTTGGTCCCTGAAAGAGAACGATATCTATTCAAGTGTATCTTAGTGTACTCAGCGTCATTTAGTGTACTCAGTGTCATTTAATTCTACAGAATACTACTTTAAAGAACAACTATGGTGCATGGTTTGCGTTGGTATTTCAGTGTTGTGTATTTTCATGTCCATCCATACATGTTTTATAAGAATGGGTTACACGTTGTAAAACATGAAACAGTGAACAGTGGGAATCATGTCCACGGGCCAACATGAACACACATGATGCCTCACAGTGTCCTGCAGAGCTGTGTGGGTCTGTACTGACCCTCAGAGTAGTGGGACAGTGTGAGCAGGCTCACACAGGACGCCCCGGCCCCAGACCCGAACACTGTCACCCTGGTGGGGTCCCCTCCGAAGGCCGCGATGTTCTCCTTGAGCCAGCGCAGGGCCTGGATCTGGTCCAGCAGGCCATAGTTCCCTTTGGCGGCCTGGTCCCCTGTGCTCATGAAGCCTGCAGACACAGGAGGCAAAGGGTTAACACTGTTACAGAAGCCATGATGAATACAAGTTACACTAGTTTCACATTAGTCAAGTTTGTGACAAAAAGTTCAGGATATATATTTCTAATGCATTCGTGTTATCCTGGAATCCCTCCACCTGGATTAAAAGTCCAGACACTTATTGTAAAAGAGAAGCAGTTATCTGACTGTGTAAACATTGAACAAGGGGTTTTCTCATGTTTCTACTTGTCATTTTGTAACTATTGTGTAGACCTTTGGTTGACCTCGTTTGATCAATGATGTTTATTGAAGCACCACTCTTTGGTTCAGAACACACACTACAGGCGACTGTCGCCTCATTAGGTCCTAATTAGTCCTGAAAGTCACTTTTCTAACATTCAGGGCTGCCCAAAGTAGGGCTCCTCTTTTCTCATCTCCTTCTCATTGGACTCATGATGTTGACATTTAGATGCGTCAAACAATACACTTGAAAGATCATTTCACAGAGTAACACACACACACACACACACACATGGAGAGGTGAATGTGAATGATGCTTACCTTTTGAATGCATAGTGGAGATGGCCATAGACAGACAGTGATGATGAGGAGAGGTGGGGTCTTGGAGAGCGGGGATGAAGATGGCACATAAACACATGACGAATGAGCTCTGGAGACAAGATTGTGGACAGGATGATATTAATGGGGTTTCATTCAATGTCTGTTGTCTTTTCACATTTAGTTTCTTTAAGTTCAAGGAAAATCTATTTTATTTCCTCCCGTTCCAGAGTGACCAACGTTTGTGACAAATATGAAAATATGTTATTTTGTAAACGATTAAAAAGTCATGTACAGTTTAGTGCTGTCCAACGATTAAAATATTTAATCGCGATTAATCGCATGAATTTCATAGTTAACTCGCGATTAATCGCAAATTAGTCACACATTTGCGTGCTGTGTGCAATTGCTTTTTTTATTGAAAACAATGTGTAGTGTTATATTACACACTAACATTTGATGCAAAATCATCAATAAATGGATGACAAAATAAACAATTGGTAACAAAAAGCCCCTTCAATGTGTGTGTGTGTGTGTGTATGTGTGGGTATAGACCATAGACTGTATAGAAACATCATGGTGTCATTATGATGATGATAAACAATCTGTAAATATTTTGTAAATGTGTTCATGTGAATACTCTATGCTGTTTCTCTGTTTACCTTTGGTATATCTATGACTGTATACTGTTTGCTTGTATTGCCTTTTTTATTAACCCCTCCCCCCATCTCCCACTTCATGCCCCCCCTCCCCTCCTATGTGCCCTTCTGGGTTTCTTCTTTGGCCCCCTGTATCTCCAACTACATATTGTTTGTAATCTCTGTCTACAATGTATCTGAACTAGTCCTTTTCTTTGTTTCTATTTTTTTTCTGTATATGTGTTTGTCTGCAATAATTTTTTTTATCGCGCGATAAAAAAAATGACGGCGTTAATATTGATTTGCGTTAACGCGTTAATAACGCGCTATTTTGGACAGCCCTAGTACAGTTTATGTAAAAGGTATTTGGTTCAATGGGAAGAAAATGGAGTTGACTTTAGCCTCATCAGGAGTCATCAGCACAAACGTCATCAACACTATTTTAAAGGTGGGGTACCCAACTTTCAAGCCACAAAACTAGTACGTAACTAGTTCCTCTCTCTCAAAACAATTTGGTTCTATCATGAGTCTGGCCTCTGTCACATCATTCTCACACAGCCAATCAGTTCTCAGCCAAGCCCCGGTGATCCAAGATGGCATCCTACTCAAATCAATGGCTTGTTCTTAGTAACCATGGATCTATAATAATAACTGGATAGGGTATTACTAACTTATAGCTGTACCACCCATGGGCACAGGGGGCGCCCGTGGTACTGCAGACTAAACTCACGTGGGCTACCCAGAAAAAAGTCCCGTAGAACTCAATGTAAACTAAAACAGCTCGACCTCAGCTGACAGAGAACCTACAGCTTTAGTGTCCCTTGTCATCCTGAACTTTTTATTGCTTCACAATGGTGCACCGGCGGTGCGTGACGGACGCGTCAGCGCCCGTCACTCACCAAAACGTGACGGTTGCGTGCGTAAACTCAAACGCTTTAAAATGATGTATCAGGTGCCATTGAAACCTATATTGTTTTTGCTCGAGACGTCGAAAAAAAAATTCCTTTTTAGGCCCGAGCCCCGAACGGGGTAAGGGCCTATTGCTTTCACAATGGTGAAAACAAATGGTGGCGGTGCGTGACGGACACGTCACAAGCCTTTCATTTGAATAGGGCGCTATCTTGGATCACCGGGTCTTGTTAGTAACTCATGGGACAGCCCTGGGGACTGAAAGATTAGCGGAACTCGCCCATATTTGGTCATTTCTCTGGTCCTCGGCAGAGGGGTTCGGTGCGTCCTGACCAATCAGATGCTGCTGATCAGAGCGGAGTTAGAGCGGGAGACGATAGAGCAGACTTTGTGAGCCGCCAACAACAGCGAGCGCGCAGCCATGTACCCAAAACCATATTCGCCACAGGACGAATATGGTTGTTGTGTGCGTGTCTTTGCGCAACCTGTGCACGCAATACATTCCAGTCCAGCCCTGGTATGACGTTGGTTCCTGGTGTTATGTGGCTGGTTCCTGGTGTTATGCGGCTGGTTCCTGGTGTTATGCGGCTGGTTCCTGGTGGTATGCGGCTGGTTCCTGGTGGTATGCGGCTGGTTCCTGGTGTTATGCGACTGGTTCCTGGTGTTATGTGGCTGGTTCCTGGTGTTATGCAACTGGTTCCTGGTGTTATGCGACTGGTTCCTGGTGTTATGCAACTGGTTCCCGGTGTTATGCGGCTGGTTCCCACAGACGATTAGAGCCGTACTCAGAGGAGCTGAATTATGCAGGAGGAGGAAGAGTTGATAAACTCCATTATAAAAAGAGAAGTGCCGTTAAGACGCTCTGCTCTGACCCACTTTTCCGAATCATGGATATGGACTGGTATTTATAGAACATTTGTGTGGATTGTCAAATGAAAAGCATGGAAATTCAACGGCTACGTGGCAAAGTACTTCAAACTTCCAGGATACACAAGAATTCTATGGGTTTGAGTTACTGCTTCTACTGTTGATATTACCATGGACTGGTGTGTGCACTACTGCTGCTTCTGCTACTAATACTGCTACTACTGTTGATACTACTACTACTACTGCTGCTACTACTGCTGCTACTACTACTACTGCTACTTCTGCTGCTACTACTGCTGCTACTACTACTGCTACTACTGCTGCTACTGCTATTACTACTGCTACTATTACTACTGCTGCTGCTACCGCTATTACTACTGCTACTACTGCTGCTGCTACTGCTGCTGCTACTGATACTGCTATTACTACTGCTACTACTGCTGCTGCTACTGCTGCTGCTACTGATACTGCTATTACTACTGCTACTACTGCTGCTGCTACTGATACTTCTATTACTACTGCTGCTGCTATTACTGCTGCTGCTGATGCTACTGCTATTACTACTGCTACTACTACTTCTGCTGCTACTACTGCTGCTGCTGCTACTACTACTGCTGCTACTGATACTGCTATTACTACTGCTACTACAACTACTACTACTACTGCTGCTGCTACTGATACTGTTATTACTACTGCTACTACTTCTACTTCTACTGATACTATTACTTCTACTGCTAATGCTACTGCTACTGTCACTACTACTGCTGCTACTACTCCTACTACTACTGCTACCACTACTACAACAACAATATCTTGCTGGAAAGCCACCGATCATTTTCCCATGTCGGTGAAGTGTCTTGCCTATGGACACAAGAATAGTTTGTGATTTTACAGCTGCACCTCTGTGGCATCTCCCATCGCAGTACGTCACTCCCTGTCTCTGAACAGCAGGTGGCGCCACAGCAGACATACAGTCCGCTCGTCCATAACATGCTGTGACATGATAAGTGACCAATACATCTGTCTTTAAATTGAATCAGTCAAAATAAATACTGGCCATTATGAGGGTGATGAAGAGGAGAGCCACTGGAACAGCTCATGATGAGGTGATGAAGAGGAGAGCCACTGGAACAGTTGTTGATGAGGTGATGAAGAGGAGAGCCACTGGAACAGCTCATGAAGAGGTGATGAAGAGGAGAGCCACTGGAACAGCTCATGATGAGGGTGATGAAGAGGAGAGCCACTGGAACAGCTCAGGATGAGGGTGATGAAGAGGAGAGCCACTGGAACAGCTCATGATGAGGGTGATGAAGAGGAAAGCCACTGGAACAGCTCAGGATGAGGGTGATGAAGAGGAGAGCCATTGGAACAGCTCAGGATGAGGGTGATGAAGAGGAGAGCCAGCTGCTGCTACAGTTACTACTGCTACTGTTGCTGCTGCTGCTGCTGCTACTACTGCTACTACTGTTACTGCTGCTACTACTGCTACTACTGTTACTGCTGCTGCTGCTGCTACTACTGCTACTACTGTTACTGCTGCTACTACTGCTACTACTGTTACTGCTGCTACTACTGTTACTGCTGCTGCTGCTACTACTGCTAATACTGCTGCTGCTACTATGTTACTGCTGATGCTGCTACTACTGTTACTGCTGCTACTGCTGATGCTACTACCACTAATACTGCTGCTGCTACTACTGCTCTTGCTGCTGCTACTGCTACTACTGTTACTGCTGCTACTGCTGCTACTACTGTTACTCCTACTGCTGCTACTTTCTGATACAATACAACTCTTAACTACTGCCCTGAAGCCTGTGTATGTTTCAGTGCTTCATTGTTCTGTGGCTGAGCACACATCAGTAAAACTGGGCGGGGGAGAAATAATGAGAAAATGATGAAGAGTCTTTATTACGCAGTGGGCCCAGTGCTGCCCCATGATTTCACTTCTATCTTTTTAAAAATAATGTCTTTGCCAGTTTGATTTGAAAATATCAATGTTATTCTTGCTCTTCTGTGAATTGGTCAAAAGTGGTTTCTGAGGCAAACACACGGTTTTGGTCTGATCTAAAATATGCATCACATTGTAGCAGATTAGAATCTATTAACATTGTAATCTATTGTAATATCCAGTTTTTCAAAAAGCCCAGTGCTTTGATTGCACCATAAGCTTTTAAGCCATGTGTTTTGATGCCGTAATAACGAGCTCATTTAAAGAGGATTTTAATTAAAACTTTTGTTAGAGCTGTGCGGCTTCAGAAAGAGCAACAAATCTAACTAATGTTTGGATTGGAAAGAGATTTAAACAGGATTTCATTGGTTCATCTTCTCACAAGTCTCATATCTCTTGATCATTGTAAGGTATTCAAATGAGTCTCAAATGTCGAGCTTGTATTTAAAGTAGAAATATTACACATGATTCACGGACCAGAGTCACAGAGATGTAAGTGAGGTCACCAGTACAGGAGGAACATTCCAGACCTATTGTGCATGTTTTTAGTGGTAGGGGAAACCGGAGCACTCGGAGGAAACCTACGCAGAGAAGGGGAGAACATACAATTTCCACTCAGAAAGACCCTGCTCTGATCGGGATTCAAACCCAGGACATTCTTGCTGAGAATCAACTCGGCTAATGGATTCTCAGTCCAGCTGCAGGTATGGAGACCCCTGGCCCATCCTATTTGATCTG